ACGTTGCTTCTAAGGTCTTCGACCTCCAATCAATCCATGGCTCATGACGTTCTAGCCATGCCATGCCTAAGATGAGGTCATACCTCGCACACAGGTCTAAGACCAAACAGCGTTCCATGCTGTTAAAGTCAAAGAACTTTAAGTCCATCGGGACTTTGGGTACCGTAACACGCGTAACCGTTGCTAAGCAAACCGTGACTTTGTCACTTTCACGTGCTACAAGCGCTTCAGCATACTACTGACTACCTTCGACGGTGCCACGGCGCACATAATTGCCTGATGCCCCCGAATCGATCAAAATGATCCATGGCTTATCATAGCCCTTAATCAACCTTCGACGACTAGCAAGCCTGGCTTACATTGTCGTTCCGTTTTTGAGAGTTCGCATCTTTTTTGGGGATGGGACCTGTTTACTCCTACCTCCTAGAGGCTCAACAGAACTCAGTACTTTCCCAGTAGGGCGCCCCGCGACTACTGGGTTCCACCGTTTCCCCGCGGCAAACCAGAAGGTTTACCCATGGGATGTCAGCCCTTCGAGACCAAGTATGCCTTTTTTGCAGGGCATTTTGCCATCAAATGGACTGTGCTCTTGCAGACATAACATTTGCGCACAATTTGCTGCTCCGCAGCATGACTCACAGCTTCTTCATCCTCCACTTGACTACAGTCCATGGGTACAGATAGACCCATCAGACGAGTAGTTATAAGTGGCAGGCCTAGCGGCCTTAAAGTTGGTCTCGGCATTCCATGCCACTCCAACAGCTTCCTCGAATGAGGACGGATTCACCCGGAAGACTTCCGTTCTGGCAACGCCAACTCGGAGGCCCTCCATAAAGACCGTGACGGTCACTGCTTCAGGCATAGGGTCTATGACCGTGGCAGCAATGAGAGGTTTCAACTCTTGTACAAATTCCGCAAGCTCACGCTTGCCTTGGCGACACGCCAAAAACCGCGACCGATTACGGTGTGCTTGGTTTGGCGGTGCATACTGTCGGGGTCATCTGAACTTTCAGATCGGCCCATGTGGGAAAAGCATCTTGCAGTGATACAACGCATGTGAATGCCCACTGTTTGGCTGAACCACCCAGCTTGCCCGTGGCAAAGCCCACACGGTACGGTTCATAGGTGATGTTGGCTATAACCATAGCTGACTCGACCTGTCGGAACCAAAACATAAGGTTGTCACCTTTGCCGTCGAACTTATCGACTTCCATTTGTATGGGTTTTGGTCTGCTGGCCACTTCTTGCGCCATAGTTGCCATGGGCGAAGGCGCAGAAGAAGGCATCTGTGCCTTTACATGCTCGACTAGAGCTTTTTTATATATCATCAAGCATATGAATACGCTTGTAAACCTCTTATTCGCCCTGGGCGATGAGGTACTCCACGCCCTTAGGGACAAGGATAGGGAGCAGCTTCTGCAACCCTTCTTGTTGTGCCTGTGACAGGCCAACCGATGACATCTCGTCGATGTCCATTCTCACACAGAGAAGTAGTCGCAAACCCAGGTGCGGGATTGACTACAAGTGCTACCAGGTGTAGACGAGCTACTGTAGCTATGCTACTTACGCACTATGTGCAGAAGAAGTAGTCAAACTACTGTAGCAAAGCTACGTATGCACTATGTGTAGAGGAAGACAAGCCCAGAGAGATTATGCGTCTTAGCGTGTTCAACCTTTTAGACTAGCTCGTAAGCTTGTACCTATCGGTTTTTACAACCGTGTCTCGAAGAGACTAGTATCAAAGATACGATTCGTTAGGAGGAATTGAATGCTCAAGCTCTAAGGCATACAGAGCAGGTTTGAAACTGATTTATATTGATTTTACTAAATGTAGCATCACCTATCCTATACTTAGTGCTAGTCATTATTTACTGGCTCTATAGCTTGTTATTATTATGCAAACATGCATATTCACTATATATAAATAAGTTTAGTGACCACGTGACTCTCTGCCACGATGCGACCCTTCGTACTTTAAAGTACAATCACATCACCTACTGTTGTACCCAAGGTACAGCCATACCACATTGGTGTGGCAGGTGTGTATGTAAAGTACACACCTTCGTGTAATCTCGTTATATATGTAGGGTTACAGGAGAATTAATGATGAACGAAAAGCGTGATCTGTTAATACAATTCGTACGTTGACTTTAGAGCTTTCTAAGCTCGAGAAAAGATGGTCGCATTACAAGATGTTGAAGTTCATTCAAAGTGAGAGCGAGAAGAATGTTTCAAACCGTTTTAGTAAAGCACGATATGAGAGCTATGGTACAGGGAAAGCAAGTCTCTAGGCTCGAACCTTCCTGCAACCATACCCACCTCGCGAAGGAGGGTCACGAGCGCGGTAATTGCGTCTATCACCATCCTCAGCTTGGGAAGGGTCGACACAGGTTTACTGAGCTGACCCAGCAATCGGATCCCGAGGGCTCTGGTGACGCAGTTCTCTCCAGGATTGCGTCAAGCTTGAGTCGGTGGTAGGCCATGGTAACGTCCGCATCCGACCAGGATAAGGATCCTGAGGTCGAGGGGTCTACCGACTTGGTGTCACCTGGTGCTTTCATTCGGGGCGTGGTCGGCTTGGACATGGCGATCCTATTTTTTGTAGTTTTTGTATGTTATTTTGGGGACAGTAGTCTATCTGGTTTCACCTTCGACTGATTGTTGTCTGGGGCATGATAGATATCATGACCCAAGGTGTCCTCAACGAGGACATAGGGAGGGTATTTTAGTTCCTCTTTAATAAGTTTAACCTTGACCATATTGACCGGGCCCCTCCCAAGGTCCGGTCGGTTCTTCGATCCTTTGTTGTTTTCTTGTGTAGTCACTGGAGATCGGTCTTCCAGTGACTCTTCGGTCTTTTCCTCAATATTTGCTTGAACATCATCATCTTCTTGGGACTCGCGGTGACATCCCGCGTCTTCCGAAGATCCGTGCACGCGCACCATTGTGGTGGAGAGGGTTCTCAAAACTGCGTAATGAGACCCCAAGCCACTCACTGTGCCGGACTACTAACTGTCGGAGGGGGTACCACGATACCGCGTATAGACCTTCTCTCACCTTGTGTACCCGTCGAATGGCGGGTTGCACTATTGGGAGGACTTGGTTGAGATGTGATGTCGGCCTTGAAAGAGGTCGACCTTGGGGTGCCTCGAGTGGGTATAATTCACTCGGTAGGCGGGTAGGTGGCCACTCGTTCGACTAGGACGAGGGTGGACTTATAACCAAATTCTTCAGAGGAGATTCTTAACCCTGGCCTTTTCCTTCCTTGATGTCTCAGGGTTGTTAACCGCCTGGCCTTTACCTGCTCCCGGACCACTATGGTAGGGAGAACGCTTCCGATAGCGGGTTATGTTGGGGGGGGGCTACTCGGACGAACTCACAGGCCAAATGTATCCTGGGGATCTACTCGCACTTGAGTATTACCACACAACTGTCTTCGACGGGGGGCCAAAACATATCCCTTCCCCGAACAGGTGGGTAGACTTAGTAGGTACCTTGGAAGCACGACGGAGGTGTGCTATATAGATTGCAAATTGAGTAATATTTAATATAGTCCAATCTTTTAACTTGTTTAATCAATTTTTACCCCCGAGACCTAATTCTTGATTCTGCTTGTCGAAGAACCGAAGGACCGGGGTCCACACGAAAGATCAGGGTCTACCAACAAGGGACCAGGGTCCACCACGAAAGACCAGGGTCTACCAACAAGAATCCAGGGTCTACCACGAAAGACCAGGGTCTACCAATGAGGGACCAGGGTCCAACACGAAAGACCAGGGTCTACCAACAAGAGACCAGGGTCTACCACGTAAGATCAGGGTCTATAAACGAGGGACCAGGGTCAACCAACAAGAGACCAGGGTCGACCTTGAAAAACCAGGGTCTACCAACAAGGCCAAGGTCTACAATGAGGAACCAAAATCGACCTTGAAAGACCAGGGCATACCAACGAGGGACCAGGGTCGACCTTGAAAGACCAGGGTCTACTAACGGAATACAGGGTCTGCCAACGTGGGTCCAGGTCTACCTTGAAAGACCAGGGTATATCAACGAGGGGCCAGGGTCAACCTCAAAAAAGGCTGAGGTCCACCTCGGGGAACCGCGGTCCATCAGGCTAACCGCGGTTAGCTCCTCCGAATGGAGCACGCTTATACCGTACAATCTTCTCATCCCACGGTCGTCCCCGTCCCTCTTGGCGCTTCGTCTCTCTGTCCCTTACCTAACCGTCACTCCTCCTTGGTGAATCCCCTTCTCCTTGACTTACCTGTCCTCTGGCCTACCAATTTTTGAAACGCTTCACATTACGAAACTAGACAGGTTTAACGATTAGCATTGATTCATTACTGTACTGACTGCACCATGGCTCTTAGATCTTGCTTTACGAAGACGGTTTGAACCATTCTTCTCGCTCTCACTTTGAATGAACTTCAACAAATTCTTTTGCGGCCATCTTTTCTTGAGCGTAGAAAGCTCTAAAGTCATTGTACGACTTGTTTTAACAGATCAAGCTTCTCGTTTATCATTTATTCTCCTGTAACCCTACAGACCTATGCAGATTTCTATTTCAATGCTCGTCTATCATTCATTTGTAGATCACGCTTACTATACTGCTACTTCAGCCTCAGTAGACATTCTTCTCATCGGCCTATTAGCGTTTTCATACATCTACAGCACCTAAAACTGAATAAAAGAATACACAATAAATGCATTATACTGTTCCAGCCATTTTAGCGTCTTGAAGACTATGATGCAATGGGGTCTAAAATGAGTACACCCCTTCTAAACTGTTAAAGCATAATATCGCCAGTAAGTAGCACCCTAAAAAATGGATCTATTTCAGATTCAGACAACCCTTTTTCGTCCATTTGATGTGGAAAGTTACCAAATGTATTTTTTGTTTGTCTTTCGGCCAATCCCACGCCGCCACCTTTTATCCTATTTTTTTTATAAGATCGTCACTGTCCTACAATACAAACAGGGGAAAAGTATTCAAGTTAAAAATGGTGCGTAAGGTGTCGCCGTTCTTTTGTTAGTACCTTCATTTCTCCTCTTCCACGTCTCTTGACACTGTCTTCGTAGTCTCATCTTGTAGATTTCTATTTTTTGTTTTATTTCATCTAACTCTTGTCTCTTTTTACCTTTTTTTGAATATGTTATGTTGATTCTCCCTAGCCACTTCGTCTCGACATTAAGCGCCAGCTTTCGTCACGATCAGAGCGCGTCAAGAGCGTCGATTTGCATCCAACAGAGCCATGGGTTCTTTCTGCACTTTATTCTGGTAGCCTCATGATCTGGAACTATGCAACGCAGTCACTGGTCAAAACATTGGAAGTATCGTCTTTGCCTGTGCGTAATGCCAAGTTTGTCGCTCGTAAGCAGTGGCTTGTAGCGAGTTCAGATGATATGCAAGTGCGTGTATTCAACTATAACACGATGGAGAAAGTTACGAGCTTTGAGGCTCATAGCGACTATATTCGCCATATTGAAGTACACCCAACGTTACCGTGTTTTCTCACTTGCGCAGACGATATGACCATTAAACTATGGGATTGGGACAAGAATTTTACATGTTCACAAGTATTTGAAGGTCACGGACACTATGTTATGATGGTGAAGTTTAATCCAAAGGACGCGCATTCGTTTGCAAGCGCATGTCTCGATAGAACTGTCAGAGTCTGGGGCCTTGGCTCCAGTCATGCCCATTTCTCCCTTGAAGGACACGAACGTGGCGTCAACTGCGTCGCTTATTACCCAGGTGGAGACAAACCTTACCTGCTGTCCGGCAGTGACGATCGTACGGTCAAGGTGTGGGACTACCAGACGAAGGCTATCGTCCACACATTGGACGGGCATGGCAATAACTTGACATCGGTGTTGTACCATCCAAGGCTACCACTGATCATTTCGGCCTGTGAAGATGGTGCCGTGAGGATGTGGCACTCGACTACATATCGCTCGGAGACGACGCTCAACTACGGCATGGAACGTAGTTGGTCGCTTGCGGCGCTACCTTCAGCCAACACACTGGCGATCGGCTACGACGAGGGCACTATTGTGTTGAGGCTAGGGCACGATACCCCTGTCGTGAGTATGGACGTTGGTGGCAGCGGAAAGCTCATATGGACGACTAATAATGACGTTTACACCGCCAGTGTCAAGGGGGTGGTGACGGAGATGGGTCTCCAGGACGGCGAAAAACTGCCGCTTGTTTCAAGAGATCTAGGAAGCTGCGAAGTATACCCTCAAAAGGTACAGCACAACAGCAACGGCCGCTACGTAGTGGTTTGCGGTGACGGCGAGTACATCATCTATACGGCACAGCAGTTGCGTAACAAGGCCTTTGGTACTGCGCTAGATTTCAGCTGGTCACCAACAGGCACCGGCGACTACGTTATACGTGAGAATATTTCAAAGCTCACACTGTTTCGTAACTTTAAGGAAGTTAAGAGCGAGAAGCCTCGCGTGCTGTGTGCCGAAGGTCTGTTCGGAGGCACTGGTGCCATCGGCGTCAAGGGTAATGACGCGATTGCCATGTTTGACTGGGAGGAGCTGCGGCTGATCCGTAAGATCGACGTGGTGGTGAAGAATGTGTTTTGGTCTGAAAATGGCAGCCTCGTCGTGCTTGCTTGCGAGTCGAGTTTTTTCGTGCTGCGGTACAACAAGGAGGTGGTGGCACAGTCTTTTGCTGCTGGCACAAACTCACCTGATGAAGGTATTGATGGCGCCTTTGATCTGCTCCACGAAATCTCTGAGAAGGTTGGTACGGGCACCTGGGTTGGAGATTGCTTTTTGTACACTAACGCTGGCGGCAGACTCAACTACTACGTGGGCGGTGAGGTAATGACGCTTGCCCACTTAGAGCAAAAGATGTATCTGCTCGGGTACTTACCTCGTGAAAACCTGGTATTTTTGATGGACAAAATGAAAAATGTGGTGAGTTACACGGTTTCGCTAGTAATGCTAGAGTACCAAACTGCTGTGGTGCGTCGTGACTTTGAGAGTGCAAACGACATTTTGCCCAAGATTCCGGCAGACCAAATGGACTACGTGGCCCGTTTTCTGGAGTCACAGGGGTTTAAAGAAGAGGCTTTGGCTTTAAGCACTGACCCAGACCAAAAATTTGATCTTGCTGTGCAGCTTGCAAAGCTGGACGTGGCGCGTGATATCATGTTGCTGGAAATTGACAAGGGTGACAAAAGTAAGGACATGGACATTGAGACTCAGCATAAATGGAAGCAGTTGGGTGATCTTGCACTTAATGACTGCCAGCTAGCTCTTGCTGAGGATTGTGCACTCCGTGCCGACGATTTTAGTTTATTGTTGATTTTGTACACAAGTCGTGGAGACAAGGATGGTCTTGTCCGTCTTGCAAAGCTTGCTCGCGAAAGATGCCGCTACAACATCGCATTTATTTGCTGGTTCTTACTGGGTCGAACTACTGAATGCGTTGAGGTGCTGAAAGAAACTAAGCGTTTCCCGGAAGCCGCGTTTTTTGCGCGCAGCTACTGCCCGTCCAAGATACAGCTGGTCATGGACAAGTGGCGTGAAGATTTGGGCGCAGTTAGCTCCCGTGCTGCTAAGGCACTAGCCGACCCCACGCGAAATGCCGACTTGTTTGAGAATCTGGAGCATTCAATGCAGGCGGAAGCTATGCTTCTTGCGCAGAACGGCGGTGAAGAGGTCAAAGCTCTTGTGTACTCTTACGCTGCGAAGAAAGAATTACTGGAGAGCGAAAATCTTCTTGAGTTGATTTTAAGTGGCGGCGCTGTGGCTGCTTTTGCGGTTGGTGCGAGCGGCACGGTTCATGACAGTGTGTCTCTCAGTGCAGAAGCCGAAGCTCAGGCACGAGCACAAGTTGAAGCCCAAGCTGCTGAAGCTGAAGCGCGAGCTCTAGCACAAGCTCAAGTTTTCGCAAAAGTAGAAGCACAGACAGTCACAAAAGCTGATATACAGGCTCAGGCACAAGCTGAGGCGAAGAAAGATGCCCGACCGCGAGCCGAGACGGAATCACATGCTCGAGCCATGGCGGAGGACGTAGCACGCGTGCGTGCTGAGCAGGAAGCTACTGCTGCGGCGTTTGCTGGAGCTCAGGCGGAGGAAGCCGCCCGGCAGCGTGCCGAGGCGGAAGCACATGCTCGAGCTATGGCGGAGGACGTAGCACGCGTGCGTGCTGAGCAGGAAGCTACTGCTGCGGCGTATGCTCAAGCTCAGGCAAAGGCTCAGCTACTACGTCAACAGCAGGCCACTGAGATGACAAATAATTTTGATGGTGGCAATGACGGATTTAGATTTGCCTGTTCAAGCAGTCAAGATACTTTCCCGTCCTCCCAAGACATTGAGTATGGCATGACAACTACAACAACTACAACAACGACCACTGGTACTACTGGAGATCTATTGGACTTGGAGCTGGACAACGCCGATATCGAGTTTGAGGACGATGATGACGCTGATTGGGGAGAGATGTAGTTTCGCCAGCTCTTGCTAATACATCTCGTCAACATTTCAAAAATGTGTCAGAGAGTAAACAATTTATCAACTCGTTCCATTATCGTAACGCGTTTGATTTTATCACTCAATTTCCAAAGCAACATCGGCAGCAGACATGACGAAGTTTACATTGTAAAACAGTCAAGAAACGACCGTAACAAGGTCCATTTTAAATAACAAAATGCGTGACCATGCAAAATGCAATCATTGTCATGTATAGAATTGTCCATGTGGTGGACAAACGACACACGAAACAACCTATTACCACGATAAAACCCGCTTCCAATTTTTGATTCATCAACTTAGTTTCACCACTACAAAACATGCACCACAAGCAAAACAATGCTTTATAAGCTCAAATCTCCGACATCTCTCCATCTCTTTACTTGTTCTCATCACTCAAAGAAAGAAACAACTCACATTGAGTCTCACAAAACTCCTTTAGCTGTGGAACAGCACGAGCTGATAATGTTGGATACACGTATGTGATAAGACAATAGAGTTTGCGACTGCCTTGCTCCACTTTACACACAGCAATTCCTTCTCCTTCTTCTACCGACGGATCCCCACGACGACCGTAAGCAAGTGGCGGATGAAAACTACAAGAAAATACAGCAGTGAACAACACAAATATATAGAAATCACACAGAGATAGATTCATACAAAACAATCCATACAAAAGTTAGAATACATGTCAATGTATCAGATGTTTTACTCAATTGTCACATTTGAATACCGATGTACATCATATTGCTCATTAAGTAACACAATGCCGGACTTGATCGTGTCTTCGCGCTTGATAAACAGTTTAAGAAAATTTCTATTTTTTTGAAAGAGGTCACATCAAAAACACACCGTCCAAAGTTCATTTCCTATTTGTTTCTGTAGCTCGTTCTAAAAAGTAACGTGGAAACGACGACATGAAATAGTACAACACCATAACGTACGCAATTTCTCCCTCCAGTGGTTTTATGTTACTTAAGAGAATGTTCGTATCCCCGTCAAAAATAATATACTTGACCCACTCCTTCTGCGCCTTAATTCTCTCCTGCAGCCTCGCAATTGTCACGGTCGTCTCACCTGTTGCCTGAATATTCGTACCACTGGACGAATTATCTGTGGACAGGACGCTATTGCTACCACTCTGTGCATTCCGAAGCGGTTGAAAACTAGTCGCAGAGGCACTGATACTCCCTAAGGTGCTAAGCGTTTTTCCTACTACTCCATCCATTGCTGATAGATATTGTACGTATTCTGTATTTTAGATGCTGAAAATGCAGTAAATAGATAATGTTTTCTATTTTAAAGCAAATTAGAGTTTGATTAAAAGAAAAAGAAAACGTAGTAGACTATGCCTAACCACACCATTCATTTGTAAAAGTAAATAACTTACCATTGATGTACATAAAAAGAAGCACGACATTTAAACGTTATAACGTGACGACGTGACGACATCATGCCCCACAATAGAAGTTGTCAATATCACAGAAAGTCATTATGAACAAACTCATGATGATTGATAATCTTAGGTAAGTTCTCTTACGGCATTTTTCTTTTCTATTATACTCAGCACTTGATGATTTGTTTAGTCAGCAGTGTGCAAAATTAACATTGTTCGACTTGCTGTCAGTTCTTCTTCTACATCTTTGTAGCTCAACTAGGTTGCCTGTCCTAGGTCGTTTTACTGTCCTTTATTGCTCTTCGCAGACGAGATTAACGAATTGGTGTCATCATTCAGATTATGTCCGCGCATAATTCAGTCGTGTGCTTTTAGAAAAGCTAAGACAATTCTGGTCAATCTACGACATACACTGACTTTTTGTGTGTGGCATGGCTATTGACATTACGCAAATTTGAGAGTCTTGATCTCTATTATTAACATTTGCTGGGTTTCGTAGCAAACCACCAGTGGTAAGAAGAGTTAAAGATCCGGCTACCATTCAGTAGGACATGCAAGCTTTCGTACAAATATGTGGCTGTGAACGACTGCATCTTACTCTATAAATTTTGTTCGTGTGAAATTAATGTGGAGCCAAGAACTAGCCACTAGATACTAATTACACACACTAACGCAATGTTACTTAACCTGTAACTTGGGTTTATAGAATACATACAACCTTTCAGATTTCAAAGTCCACCTTACCTGTATGTAACCTATAACCTTTACTTTTCCTTATAAAGTAACAAGCTTTTGCGGGTTGTTTACATTACGTGTCCATAGAACAGTAATCGGAAAGACTATAGTTAAACTTCTTTAACCTTCAATACGGTGCTAATTTAATACCCAGCAAACCTTATTTATTTATATATATTAAAAAACATGCGACTTTTACCATTTGAGCACAACCACTTGGAGCAGAAAAATGGAGTATTCCCAGAAGAATGTAATTTGTGGTGAGGAGGCGTGCAATACCGGTATTACGACGGTAAACGCAAATATTCCGGTCATATGTACCCAATAATTGTGATTGTCATCTTCAACCTTCTCGCTTATCTATAACGCATACAGATGACCACTATTATACTTAATAAATAATATTCTTATTCGAAAGAAAAGAAAAGAGAAAAAAGATGAAAAATAAGAAAAAAACATACAAACATTCACGTACATGTATCAATTGTTGTACGCCAAGTCAAGCGTCAAGTCATTTTATATTTTTCCGTCTAATAGTCACGTTAGGTGATTAAACAGTGAGATGAATATAGAGCAAATGACTGTATTACCAATTAATCATACAAATGATCAATATACAACAGTAGATCAAGTCTCTCATTGTAAGTATCACTATAAAGCTCAAGAAGTACTTGATGCGACACTAGTGGAATATGGAAACTATCTACTTTCATGTCAAAAGAATACGAATCGATTGCACGATAAATGGAAGTGGAAACCTTTGAAAAAAACACGTCATGGGCTTCAGGTTTATAAAGAACGTCAACCGACACACGATGCATTAAACTCTTGTATCAATCGTGCATCAACGGCTTCCAATGACTCGATCTCGCCTTCTACGACTTCAATATCGGGAATCGAGAAACCAACGAAAGCTGTGGCAATGGCTGCTTATACGCCAGAAATAGCACAATTACCACCATCGTCTGCGGCAGTAGCTGGATCGTCTTCTATTGCCTCAATGGTCGTCGTAGGACACCTTGATGGTAATTTAAATGACGTCATGTATGGACTCATGGCAACGGACACGGCAGAGCTGAAACTTCGGTTACAATACATGGTAGACCCAGAGGTCCTGGATACATCCATGATGAGCTGCATAGAGAAACCAAGTGCTGCTAAACCATTTCATTTTGTTGGTAAACAGTGGGTCCGTCGTGGTGAAACTTCTCGTGTTAATTCAAACTCTCGACGGCCTCGTGATTTTGTGCTATTGGTAGCTTCTGGTGTCATGCGACACAAAATTTCTGGACAAACAGAAGCCCAAGAGATTGGGTATTACCTGTGTCACTCAATGGAGATGCAAGAGTGCGAACTTAGTTACGAACCTGCGCGCGGATGGCTCTCCACTTGCTCATTATTTACTCCGACTAACGGAAGCTCTGCACAGACCGACGTGTTTTCCCGAGGATATGTGAACTTTAAAGGAAAGATGCAAGACTACCAGGCAGAAGCGATGATGAGTTCGCTTATGCTAGCTGGTGTCGCAGAAGCTGCTTCTTGTGGTCGAAGCAAGAAGCTAAGCTGGATGCTGATGAATGTGAAGGGTGCTGCAGAAGAATTTCGACGTAGGCAACCAGAAGCAAAGTCTGCGTCCAACTGCTGTGGCATTTGCGACCGCAAATTTGGCGTCCTGCACAGTGTGGCGTCGTGCACCCTTTGTCAGGTGATAATATGCTCACGTTGTCGTGTGAGCCGAGACCTTTGCTTTCTGAACCGGCAAGACGTAGTTTTGAGGACCACATACAACAAGAGTGTGGGTGAGAGCCGCCATCAAGGCAGTCGACAAGTGGAATGTCGGACTGTTTTGTTGTGTAAAAATTGCAAAATGAATGCCAGTCACATGGACGCAAGTGTGATGGCACGTCAAGAGGCCAAAGATCGCTACGGTTTTCACGAGACGGCGCGGACGGATCTGATAGACGACAGTAGAATCTCACATTCGTGCTCGCAGTCTGGGTCAGAGGTTAGTTATCAAGGAGAAGGAACAGCCGAAATAAGTCTCTGGACTCCAGTCACAGACACTACGAAGCTACAAGGTTGCAATGATACAACTCTATTGAACGAACCACGTGACGACATGAATGATGTCGTCAAGACAAAAGTCGTTAGAGTGGATAATGGTCATGCAAATTGGTCGGATTCTGCAGTTAATACGACATTGGACAGTTCCTTTGCTTCGACATTGCCATCTCCACGAGATCGAGATAGCAGTCAAGAGGAATATAGCATGGAAGTGTCTTTTACTTGTCCATATGAACCTCGACTACAGTATTCGACACATGAGACAAGTACAAGTGCAGGACAATATCAAGCTGATTTAATGCGGAGAATGCAGGAATTACAGAAAAGTGCCGAGTCTGTGTATCAATTTACGAGTCGAATGAGTGCCAATACGCACTACCGACATGACAATGTCGTGTCATTAAATTCTAAGGTGTATATATCGGAGCTAGATTAATGTTGATGGCTATATTAAAAATTGAAAACCTATAGTTGATAAATATTTGACACAATAGTATATTATTGTATATATTTCATTTATTCGCATATGATATACCAAAAAGGTTATAGCTTATTTCTTTCATACTTTTTTGTGACATAAAGTATGCTTTTCGAACGTGATTAAATTTATTAGTCTATCTGGGTTTGTAACGCAGTTAAAACAAAAGCAACTTGTTAAGTATACATTTTGTACTTTAGATCAAAGGTTGTAGTTTTATCTTTCAGGCAGATTTTTTACGGACCTATTCTAAAAAAAGGTTTTAACAGAGACGAAAACTAATGAAATGATAGAAAAAAGCTTCTTTTCAGTAAGAGTTTGCAACACAAAACTAACTTGACTCACGTCACGATCGCAAATAATTAGGAAACTTTTAATGGTCCAAAACGATAAAAAAAGTCTCAAAATCCTCTACTTAAACCACACACAAAAAGAGATAGACACAAGTTATGAACTCGTGGATGAAATATTACGATGACGCGATTCCAATTGCAATTTTGTCAGTCCTTTATAAAACTTGACACCATCGGAATTCTCATCATGAATGGAATAATTCTTCACAAGCTCAGCCACTTTACTGCTGGAGACGTCCGGAGTAGAAGATGATGGAATATGAGACAAGGACGTTGAAGCTACTGCATTTGCATAGCGATCAATGATTGTTGTACCACTTTGTCCCACCGTCTGAGAAGACAAGTCCCTATCCAGCATCACTTTTTTCTCCTCCATCTCCTCGTCCTCTAAAATTGACGGCGTTCGGTCCTTACGAACTCCAGTCGAAACTTTCACCTCTTTATTCAAAAGCGCCATCTCCGTCACCATTTGCTCCACAATCATCTCAAGTTCATCTCGTTCACGAACGGCGACTGTCACCCGACGTGCGAGCTTCTCTAGTCGTCTGGCTTGCTCGTCATTGCGCTCACAAAGACGCCCAATCTCGTTCTCAAAGCGCTTTACTTTGTCAATTACATCCTCAGTGTTGCCAGAAATAAAATTCATACCACGTTGTTCACTGCATTGCAACCGCAAATGCTCAATTTCACGCTCAGCAACTGTCAGCTGAGCAGATTTAGTGTCGAGCTCACGCTGTATTTCGGTCAGCATCGTAGAGTTCTTGACGTCCTGCGAAAAGCTGTTGTTGTCCGTGGTAATAGTCCGATTTCGCTGTTCAAAGAGCTGACCCTCGAGCGCAGTCAGCTTCACTTCTAGTGTTCGCTTCTCCTTGAGCGTCTCTTCTAGACGCTCATTCACACTCTCAAGCTGATTACTGCGAAAACGAAGCTGCATTACCTCCTGCTTCGAAAGCTTCAGCTGTTTCTGCACATCAGCCAATTCACCATGAACCGTAGCGTCACTTGAAGGCGAGTAATGAGACGTTGTACTTGCAGGAGCAGCACTGGAAGACAACACAGCCATCCGATGTTCAAGCTGCGTAGTAGCTTCCTGTGCCACCTTTAGAGAAAGACGGACAGCGGCGAGTTCAGTCTCTAGCTCCAACTTTACACTATCACCCGCACGAGCACGATTCACAGCGTTTTCAAGCTGTCTTTTCGTCTTCACAAGTTCTTCCCCATTCGTCTCCAGCTCCTTCTCCCGCACCTTCAATAATTCTTCAAGCTCAGTAATGCGTGCGTCAGGTTTGACTGCTATTGCTTCGTTGTGCCTATCACTCTCTTGCTGCTCGAAATCCTCGATCTCGTTGCGAAGACGATCGTTTTCTTTGGTAGCATTAGCCAGCAATTCATCGAGTTGCTTCACACGGTCCTCAAGCACCAATTTAGCCTTGCCAACATCAGCATAAATCTTATCTAAAAAGCCAGGCGCCTGTAAAGGCTGCTCCCGGTCTGACTTTGATGCACTTTCGTTCTGTGCAACTTCAACTTGGTCTTTCAACTTTTTGATGTCATTTTTTGCCTGCTCCAGTTCCGACGCAAGTGCGGCAGAGCGTTCAGCTTCAAACTTGTGCTGCTCTCGGATTTGACTAAGTTGCGCCGCATTCTCGTTCTCAGACTCCTCAATGTCTTCACGACTAGAAGAACTCGTAGTCTCCGAGACCTCTGCGTTAAGCGACAGACCTTTTGTCATGCGCGAAGAGAAGCCACCCAAATGTTTCTTTAAAGCACTGGAAGCATTAGCCAGTACGCCCTCAAGCTCAGACCGCAGCTTAAAATTCTCCCGTTCGAGATTATGGAGCTGTTGTGTCATGGTAAAAGCAACAGGTCGCTCTTCACGATCCACCGTGACGCTGCCACTGCGGACCGACGAAATAGTGGTGCCTGAGGTGTCAGTGGCCGCACGATAAGTCCGAGTACTATCCTCGCCTGCGTCACTATCATACTCCATTAAACGACCCAGAAATTCCAAGTGTTCCTGCAGTCGCTGATTGCGTCGCAACGCCGCCTCCGTTTCAGCTCGAAAGTCAAAGGTGGTCTGTGACCTCTGTGGCGTCTGTGATAAGTGCGAACTCTTCAAACGCTCCGAGTGCTCTGAGTGACAATGTAGTAGTGAGTCCATCTCCTCGTGAAACTTCTTGACTCGTTCAATAAGCTCCACCTGCGGCAGCAATGTTGTGTCCTGAACCTGCATCTCATTGTTGCATAAGTGCACAGCCGTCTCTAACTCCTGTAACAAACGCAAGGTCAGTGCACGCTGATGTACTGCGTTACGAGTCTCAGCCTTTTCTCGAATCATTAGCTCCTCATTCTCTGTAGACTGTGCGTCAATGCGCTTCTGAGACTCCTTCAAGAACGACTCGAGCTGCATCACTTGCACCTCTTTGCGATCAAGTCGCCGCTTAGCAGACCGGCAATTGCTGCAATTGGAAACGGACAGTTCTTCCAGCAAATCTCGCTCGCTGCCATTTGAGCTAAGACTGGCAGTCGTTCGTCGTGTCGACACTAATGTTGATTCATTTGCGCTTCGTCGAGACTTGTTTATCTCTCGAGAGCGTGGTGTCTGGGTCGTAGACGTCTGTGGCTTCAAAGCGTGAGAATTCTTATTCAGCAGAATTGATGGTGGCGGAAGTTTCGCTAACCCAGCAGATCCTGCTTGTAAATTAGTCTCGGAATCAACTGCAGCATTAACATGCAAATTTCCAGGTGCTTGAACAAGATCCCACGTAATGTCAAGCTCGAGCGTCGCCGCCAAATCTCGACACTTAAGTGGCGAGATACGAAACAATTTGTGTCGGTCTTGTGGACTAGCATGAAGCTGAACAAGTGTAGCAAAATCCACGGAAAAAAGGGCAACAGCAGAATGGCTGGGTAGCTAAAGACAAATATCAAGTATCAACATAAAAAATCACAATAAAAAAGAATAGCAAGAACAAGTTTGAAAAAAATAAGAATAAAATACAGATCCAGAGCAATAACAAAGCCACAAACAGAACTGTGACTTTCGAACAAAAAATGATCAAAAATAGAGATTTCCGTACCGCGACAAGTATAATTTCATATTCTTTTTTCAGAAAAGTAGAAGTTCTTGCCCCACTTTGTCCGGCTTTCTTCTGTCCAAGTAATGACGTTTGGATATTTAAATGTTGATTCCAGATTGCACAATGATCAAAAGTCCATTGTGTTGGTTCAGAGATAACTTCTTTACTATTACGTCGAAAGAGTACAATCAACTCGTGATCATTTGGACTAATGTCATGACCAATATTAGCGCGATGGATAAACACTAAGAGAAGAAGTTTGACAGTTCAAAACGTTAGAAAGAAAAACACGTTACAAGTCTCATGTGATAGAGACAGTAAGAGAAAAAGAATCGATAGTGGACGGACGTACCATCTAAATTAACAAGAATAGTTGCTGCATTTGAACGTGGTGTAGTAGTACTAGTACTTATAGCAGTAGTAGAAGTTGGTACTCCAGTACCTTTATAAATGGATCGAGGTCCCATTTTCTCCTCTTTGTCTTAAACTTTCAACACTTACGTCGTATGAGATTGGAAATTGGTAATTAGAAAGAAAAGGTGGATAAGAATTAGATAGGATAGAGATGTTAGATAGGATAGATAATAAATTAAGGCTTTTTCAATGTAAGAGCTTAATAGCGTCTCAAAATGATTCTAAATTAAGACGCAGGAGGATAAGAGGAATGAGAAACAAAAAGCAGAGAGAGAAAATGAAGGATAGAGAGAGAACGAGTAATTTAAAAAAGCTCAAGACTTATTTTAGACAGTAAATTTGTATATGTACAAAGACCAGATGGAAAATGACAGTTCACAACAGATGTAAAAGTGTGTAATTCGATTTTATCGAAAAAACTCGACACGATACTATGTTTAAGAAACTAATACAATACCAATTCATATCTGACCATTTGAAACAATACAGATTTTATCAAAAAAAGTTACAGCCGTAACAGGTACTTGAATAATGTTTCAAACGTTAAATGGCTGGAACTGTATAATGCAGCTATTGTGTAATCTTTTATTAGGTTTTAGGTGCAACGAATGGGAGACGAACATTAAAATAGGAAAGGTCTGTAGGGTTCCAGGAGAATAAATGATAAACGAGAAGCGTGATCTGTTAATACAATTCGTACAATGACTTTAAAGCTTTCTACGCTCGAGAAAAGATGGTCGCAATATAAGTTGTTGAAGTTCATTCAAAGTGAGAGCAAGAAGACTGTTTCAAACCGTTTTCGTATAGCACGATCTAAGAGCCATGGTGCAGTCAGTACAGTAATGAATCAATGCTAATCGTTGAACATGACTCAAATGTAGCGATCCATTCGAAAGCTCGTTGAGTGTCGTGACGATGGCCTCTAGCGACTTAGTCGACCGTCTGGAGCTGCCTTGTGGCTGATTTGGTCCACCAGATGGGAAGGTTGATCGACCTGACGAATGGAAGTCGTCGTTGGGCAGCTCCTTGATGCTCCAGAACCTCTTGGTCGCCCGCCTATGGGTGTCAGCTCAAGTATCGACCCCCCCCCGTATCGTTCAAACCAGTGGGCTGGTTCACAGAGCTAAAGGCGACTTACTTGCGCTTCGATGAAGACCACAGTCAGGCAATCTGGGAGTCTACCCACTGCTTGTGGATCTCCAAGGACCAAGCGCGCTTCAGCTCCTTCTTCTCGTCGTACTACAACGCTCGGAAGAAACGACGGGGTTGTGCGATTCGGATGTGGCGAAGGGTGGTCGACCTACTTTTCAAGGGGATGAGTGACGGTTGGTGCGACATCGATATTCTGCTCGACCCCTTCTTCCAGCACCTTCCCCGACCTTGCTGTAGTTTACTGGCTCTCAGGGTTCGAAGAAGGGCCAAATCCCGCCGACCTGCTGAACGCCGTGAGGGTCTCCAACTCCACGAACCCATGGATCTCCCAGTACCGACTTTCGTCCGAGCCTCATCCCGGGTACTCGGTGCCGCGTCGCCGCGACAAGTTCGTCCCTAAACCGTAAGCGTTTCCATTAAGTATTTATGCCCATCTTTTTTCCAGTCTCTATCATGAATCTCTGCTTCCCTTCTTCCTTGAAACCTTACGCCACTTTGTTTTCTTCACCACACTCCACACGAGAGACCAAGGTCTATGACGAAAAACCAAGGTCTACCAACGAGGAACCGGGGTCCACCACGAAAGACCAAAGTCTAGAAACGAGGGACCGAGTTCTGCCCACTATAGACTTTGGTCGACCATCTAGGACCCTCGGTTTCGGCCTCTACTCCTCTGATTTTGCATAGATTCGAAACGATTAGTCCTTGTCCTTGTGCGTTCAAAACCCCGAAGTAAGGCTCCACAATTCAAAGCCGCTTCATTCTCTCACGAGAAGTCTTCATACCCTGTCCATCGGACGAGGAGCTCTCGTTGCTGTCTTCCGTAACGTGTTTTCTTTCCAGTGCGGGCTTCCAAGATCTCCTCGACCTCGTACTCTCCTTCTTTCCAGATCTCTTGCCCAACTGTCGTCCGGCAACAGGCATTCATCGAAGTCGACTCGATCTATTCCGTCTGTCTCTAACGCGGCACTAGGTCGGTCGGGGAACTCTCTAACTCTCTTGCGTTTGGATAGATGTACCACGGGGAATAACTTGTACTCCGTGCCTCGAGTTTCCAAGTGTGCTGTGTGTTCTCCCACCACTAGAAACTCTAGAACCCGAAATGGTCCATGCCAGAGGTGGGTCAATTTCTTTGCGTACCCTTCTTTCACCCGGTCCGGATAGAGTTACACTTGAGTTCCCGGCTGAATCTTGTGATCGACCACCCTTCATTATGGGCTAGGATCCGAGCTTGACTGGCCGCTCGTAGGTTCTCATTCACCAGGGCTCTCGCCCGCTGATAGTGTTGATGAGTGTGATATCTCCATCTACGTGGCCCAGATCCCCGACGTCGCGATTTTTTTACCGAGGTAATGTAGCTTTGAAGGTGGTTCTAGCATCCCAACCATGGGCCGGAGAGAACGGCGTCTCCTTCCGGACTCGGTCTTGGGCGGTGTTCATCGCAAACGTTAGTCAGTCTGCATACTCGTTCCAATCCTGCTGTCCGACATCAGAGACATACATCATGATGGACCTTGTTAGAGTCTAAAACATTCTCTCCGCGGTCCCATTCACCTGAGATCAATAGACCATGGTCGCCTGTTGATGCTGGCCCACTACGCGACTAAACGTCCGAAAGAAATCCGACATTAATCCTGGTTCTCGATCGTGGTCGGATTGCCTCGCTAGCATTAAAACGGTGAAACACGCATTCTTCGTACCCTTCAGCTACTATCTGGGCCGTTCGCGACGCACTAGCCTTGGCCATCACGTACCCGTGAACAGGTCCCTCTTGTCTTAATGAATTATGGAGATTGTCAAGTGCAAGAAAGGCGAGGACCAAGTGCTGGGGGCGCTCGCAGCCAGTATTACTCCTCGCAAAAGTGTGGACTCGATTTTATCGTCAATTGCCCCCAAGAAACAGGCACGGCAAGTGGTCGACCTACCTACACCAACTGTGGAGCCTGACAAAGAGTTATACGTCATGAGTTTTGATGGGTCCGCCCGAGTGAAACATGAGAGGTGGAGCCTGTAGCGCTATTTTATGGAGATTACCTGATTGGACCATAGTCAAGACTGCCTCAAAGTTTCTCGTTACATCTACAATGAATGAGGCCGAATATGAGGGTATGCTACTGGGTTTCGACCTGTTAGAGCCTCTAGAACGGCGGCGACTGATCATCTGTGGAGATTACAACTTAGTGGTACGACAAATGCGAAGGGAGATCAAGTGTAAGGCTGCAAAATTGTCTCCATTACAAGCAAGAGCTTTAGATAAGCTGCTGTCATGGCCCACCCAAGAAATCGTACATGTAATACGTGATTGGAATCAGAGTGCCGACCAATTGGCCAGCACAGCTCTGCGTCAGAAGGAAGGATGAAGTCAATACCGGAAGGAGAATGGCTGAATTTGGAAGCGATTAATCGATTGACAGAGTTACTAGTTCCCAAAGACCAAAATTGATGGGATAAGGTGCTTGCGGCCACTCGATCTCGACGTTTCATCAAGATATCAGGGGAATTCCGGCACGAGGGTGTGTGGATACAACGACTCCGGACGGATCCAATCAGAAGGCCCAAGAGCAAGAGGACTGGGTGAGAAATTTGGAGGCCTACTTGAAGGGAGATTGGGTCGACCTATCCACGGATACCGCTCACTCGTGCATTAAGATGGCCAGGGACTACGAGATAAGTGAAGAGGGCCTACTATCGTATTGTCCCGGTCAGAGGGTCAAGGGAGACGACCGAGAAGTAACGGCCAGACTAGTGATACCCGAAAGTCTCCAAGCCGACGTCCTGCATCACTACCACACCAGTCTGGAAGGAGGTCACCAAGGGGTTGGACGTACCTACCACCAAATCCGATGGTACTGCCATTGGAGAGTCCTATTCAGAAGCCTACAGAGGTGTGAGGGGACATGTGTGGATTGCGAGACAGGGAGAGGAGGACCTACCCTGCAGGGCAAGACTCAAGGAAATGTCGAAGCAACATACCCATCCAGATTATAGCGATGGATCATATTCACTCTCTGCCCAGGTCGCATTGGGAAATACCGAGTTACTAGTTTGGGTCGCAGCCCAATTACCAAGACGTCCCTGTAACCCCGTAGATCTGACTAGTCACGCCAATGTAGAATGCCTCGTCAGGGCCTTGAGGGATCAAGTGACCAACAGCGTAAAGCAAGTTCCCATTATCCGTAATAAAGCCAGCAATTCTTTCTCCACCGTACTGTAGTTCAACTCGTTGGCCTTAACGGTCCGACTCCCCCCGCGGGCGCCCGCGGGGGGGGGGGGGGCCCCCCCCCCCCCCCCCCCCCCCCCCCCCCCCCCCCCCCCCCCCCCCCCCCCCCCCCCCCCCCCCCCCCCCCCCCCCCCCCCCCCCCCCCCCCCCCCCCCCCCCCCCCCCCCCCCCCCCCCCCCCCCCCCCCCCCCCCCCCCCCCCCCCCCCCCCCCCCCCCCCCCCCCCCCCCCCCCCCCCCCCCCCCCCCCCCCCCCCCCCCCCCCCCCCCCCCCCCCTCCCCCCCCCCTCCCCCCCCCCCTCCCCCCCCCCCCCCCCCCCCCTCTCCCTCTCCCCCCCTCCCTCCCTCTCCCCCCCTCCTCCCTCCCCCCCCTCTCTTTCCCTTTCCCTCCCCTTCCTCCCCCCCCCCCCCCCCCCCCCCCCCCCCCCCCCCCCCCCCCCCCCCCCCCCCCCCCCCCCCCCCCCTCCCCCCCCCCCCCCCCCCCCCCCTCCCCCCCCCCCCCCCCCCCCCCCCCCCCCCCCCCCCCCCCCCCCCCCCCCCCCCCCCCCCCCCCCCCCCCCCCCCCCCCCCCCCCCCCCCCCCCCCCCCTCCCCCCCTTTTCTTCTCTTCCCCCCCTCCCCCCCCTCCCCTCTCCCCCCCCCCCCCCCCCTCTCCCCCCCCCTCCTCCCCCCCCCCCCCCCCTC